ACAGAGATATTTACGTGAGGGGAGGGGGTCGTGTTGAGGGGGACATTTCATATGGGAAATGGAATTTAATAGCCAAGTGGGAGAATAAAATAAACACACTCTGCTTTGGCTTTTATCAATTTTCAGGGGTTATTGAGCTCAAACTTACAGTTTCCATTGGTTTTTCTGTGAAATGTTGAATCTTCAATGACAAAATTCCTTAAGATTTTAGTAGAACTGTAATGTGATGGAAATTTACATAAAGTTCACCGGAAATTTCAGTAATAAATTTTTAACAGTTGCTCATTCTGTTCTACACTTCACCATTCAATTAAATCGGTCTGAAACTCAATGCAATTGCTCTCGGAGTCACTCGAGTGATGAGGGAGGGCTGGGCGCACTGGTCCTAAGTACAACCCGTTAAGAATAATTTCAAGTATTGAGGAAGGACATTTCATATGGGAAATGGAATTTAATAGCCAAGTGGGAGAATAAAATAAACACACTCTGCTTTGTTTTTCATCAATTTTCAGGGGTTATTGAGCTCAAACTTACAGTTTTCATTGGTTTTTCTGTGAAATGTTGAATCTTCAATGACAAAATTCCTTAAGATTTTAGTAGAACTGTAATGTGATGGAAATTTACATAAAGTTCACCGGAAATTTCAGTAATAAATTTTTAACAGTTGCTCATTCTGTTCTACACTTCACCATTCAATTAAATCGGTCTGAAACTCAATGCAATTGGTCTCGGAGTCACTCGAGTGATGAGGGAGGGCTGGGCGCACTGGTCCTAAGTACAACCCATTAAGAGTAATTTCAAGTATTGAAGAAAGAGCATTTCACGTGTGGAATTACATTGAATGGTGAGGTGGTAATACGAGGTGAGTACACTCAGCTTCATAAAACAATTTTTAATGAGTGTCTTCGCATCCGAGGGACACACGAAAATTTTCATGGCTCTTAAAAATCAGTTCTGTGAAAATTCCGGTATCTCTCTTCAATCAGAAGAGGTTGGACAAAAAATACAAACGCCCTGAGTTAATAAATGCATTCGTCTCGTTCTACCCCTTCACTGCTGATGTAAATACACGGAAAATTGAGTGGATTTGTTTTATTGGGTCACTTGGGTAATGTGAAAATACTGTTTATTCTGAACAGCTTCGAGTACTGAAGGGAGATAGGGGTTTGCAGCGGTGAAGTGATAAAACCTAACAGAGCGGAACGTTCGATATTCTACTTCTTGTTGAATATATTGAATTATCCCGACAACGAGTTTAGGGGAAAATGTCAAGGAACTTTTGTTATCAAAAATTTTATCAGGTACAAAACAGTCTCTTGACATTTTCTCCTGGAGATGTATGAGCTATTGAGAAAATATAAAAATGTACACTTTATTTTATGTTAATGAGTTTTCAATCAATTTATGAATTGAGGATAATTGATTAATTTTTCTCAAAATAAATGAATAAAATCAATTGAGGATAATAAAAAAAAATTAAGGATAAAATAAATTGAGGATAATTGATTAATTTTATTTCACGAAAAAAAAAAATTATCCTCAATTGATAAATTGGTTTCTGCGTAATAAACATTGAAAAAAAAATGAAAAGTATCCATTTTGTCCCACTCTCTCTTACTTAGAGCTGCCCAAAAAAAATTACCACTGTTTTTTGCTCTCCCTCAGGTAATGAGAAAATGCTGGGCTCACTGTCCCGAAGTGCGGCCCTCATTCCGAGTCCTCAAGGAACAGCTGATAAACGTATCTCAGGGCTTAATCAATGATTGACTCAACCTTCTGCGGTGTTTGCGCCTATCCTCATCACCAACAGGACGCACAATATTACCACCAAAATCACCGTCACTCGGACGCTCACCCTCAATAGTACCATCCCTAAGTTCATCATACAATTCATCAACTCTGCCAGTACGTGGCAAAGATAAAATACGTGAACCAGCGTCATTACCAAATTCAATTGATTTTTTACACTTGTCATCGACGATACCAGTTGTTACTGGTAAATTCAAGAAGGACGAGGGTTCACCATCACCGAGCAAAGCTGGCAGTAAAAACGCTAGTCAACCATCCTCGAGTGGCTCGTCGAATGTCTGTGAAATATGTAGTTCGTATGGTCATCCGTGGATTGAAATATGTAATGCCATTAGAGCTACTAGGGGCAAATGATTCGCATTCTTCGATACTTGAGGATCTATCGCTGTCATTTATTCATCATTCGTTATATTCATCGTCTCATCGTTATTTTTTACTCCATCATTTGACTGTTTGACTCATTTTTTTCGCCATTCTACGAATATCGAATTACAACCAGTGGTACTCACTCGTGTCTGACATCTCATTAACTCACATTCATCACGAAAATATACATTCACTCATTATCAGGGGAAAAAGGCCAGAATTCACCGCTTATGGAAGTTACATGCAACGAAAAAAGTTAATTAACGAACGTAACGAGAGACACAAAGAAAGGTTTAATCATTGCGTCCATACAGGTACATTTTTTTATGACAACTTCCTGAGTATGCAAAAACCATACAAAAGAGAGAGAGAGAGAAAGAAAAAATGAGAAGTACGCACGAATCGTGCATTCACAATTAATATTTTAAGAGAATAAAAAAATTTACCTCATTTTCTAGGGTAAAACTCAGTAATTGCGCATATTGCGCCTGGTTAAGAATCAAAAAATGACGGATATATTTTCATTTCGTCATTAGAGGATGCAGAAGAAATACTATCATTCTCGAGCTCAATTTATTTCGGTAGTGGAGTGAGGACTGATGGCAAAATGTTGCAGAGAAATTCTCTGTTAAAATTCAAACATTCATCGAATCACTTCACTACTGATTTCTACTCTTCCTTTGCATTTCAACAACGAAACACAAATCTTGAAAGTCGTATTAACTCAATAATTTCTCGTTTTTTAAACCCCAAAAAATGCACCAATAACACTTGGACTCGCCTTGTGAGTAGATACTCATTGAAGCTCACCGGAAATCATCGTTCCTCTCGAAACATCTCAATTCATAAAACTTAATATTAATGACTCAATGGAAAATAATAAAAAACCATTTGACTAGTGTAAACGATAAATCGAGTGAAAGAAAATGACAAACCACAGAATAGATTTTTGCCTTACTGAGAGTGTGAGACAATTTTTCGACAATTTCCACGGTAATACATTTGTAAATACTCAGCAAGAGACCTTCCGCGTCGAACACGATGGGTACTGATAATGTTTTTTTCCCTTCAATACTTCTAAGATTATTTTCTCCTCAATTCCCCGAAGAATTAAGAAACATAAATCAATGAATCTCAAATGAAAAATTGATGTTAGCTCATTTACGATAGCGATGAGATTAATAATAAAATTATTAGACGAATCAACGTGTTGTTTATTGAAATTTGCAAAAATGTTTTTAAAGAGTAAACGTTGAGGATTATGCGATTTTTAATCGTTTTTATAGATTTAATATTTGGTTGGAATAATTGAGAATTATTGAGATTGAATATTGAATAATTTTGTTAGATTAATGATACAAGGATTGAGTGGTCTTGACGTTAGTGTGTCCCTGAGATTAATCGAAACATAAGAATTTTTGCATTTTCAACAGTTGCATGATAGCAATGATGTTTATGCGTGTCAATGGAAAAATGAAATAAACAACATTTGTAATACGGACCCTGTAAAGACAATATAATTATGTATGCGAGTCTTCAGACCATAAAACGTATTTTAAAGAATTCCAGAGAAGAAAAAAGTAATGAAAACAAAAATATGACGAACTAGTCCTCATTAACGATAGGAGAACATCCATTGGATAATTACCGAGACTGCTCCACGTGTCCCCTTCCCACCATTTCTCCTGAAAAAAAAACAACAACAACCCTCTAACCACTTCTTGCATATCTCTTCCTCGCGTATGTGTCTCGACGAATTACTGTAATCCAATAGTTATTATCAATTATTAATGAATTAACAAGATATTAGAATAAAATCAGATGCATTATTTTCATGCATTTTATAGACACCTAGATGTAATAGATATTTTTTTCCTCCGTCGGCTGTACACGTATTATAATGTATACAATTTATTATATGACAAACAATGCAATTCAACATGATTTCTAGATGAAAATGGAATAAAAAAAGTGATAAGAAATCAAATGTGCGTCTGATTATATTTTTCTCGCTTGGTTAATGTGTGTGCGTTTATTTTACGACATTATTTTTTTTCTTGCAAATATTCATGTTAATATTTTATTTTTATTCATGGATCTCATGATCGAATTCTCGAAAAAGCTACATATCAGGAGCGAAGTGGTAAAACGGTTCCAGTCGACTTATCTCCCAGTTGCGTTTTTGGGGAATATTTCCGAATCTAACGGAGATAGAGAAATTTTTGTAATTACGTTTTTTGTAGAGCGAATTGAGTGCTGCAAAAAATGTTTGAACAAAAATTTTGCTATCTGGCTTAGATTCCGAGATATTCATTGAAAACTGGCCAGTAGTCAAAATTGACTTGAACCGTTTTGCCACTTCACTACTGATATAATTGTCCATGATTGAAAACATCTCTCCGTAGATCTACACCAACATTACCAACATCATCAATATGATCACTATCATCAGCCAAATCAATAGCATGTGATTTCTCTTTCAGAACATTCAGGAATAAAAGTGTAACATCTTTTTACATAAGAATTTCCCGCAGTTTTTTAAACCTCTCAGTGACAGCGCCCTCCACATACCCCAGTCGATAAAAAAGAGACGTCCAAACTGATCACACGTTATTCTCCACGAGATATTCCCACAAAATAAAATCTAATCAGAGAACAAAATCCGAGAATTAGCGATCTAATTGCTCGGGTAATTGCTCCATGTGAAAAAAAAATGTCAAAAAAGTAAAAACGACTTGCGATTGGTGAACGGCATTACCCCAGGGATTTCCCATTGGCTGACGTGCCCTGCACTAGTCCTCACATTATTCCCAACCTGTCTGTTCCCCAATGCGGCTCTGAAAACGTCAGCCACACACAGCACCATACCTTTTTCGTAATAAATCACTCAGGCCCGTTTCGTGTGATAAATAGCAGCTCATCATTTCCACACTGTTGCAAGAATAACTGTGCAAAAGTGATTCATTGTTCGGTGCTAATCCATTGTTGAAATAAATAAAGGCAGAGTGGGGATTTTGGGGAACGTGGAAGGTAGAACATGGCAACCTTCTGATGACGTTTGTACTCATCCGAAGGTTTTTTACAATCGAGGAAGAATACAGGAACAAATGTTCTTCGTTAATACAACTGGCAGTTGACCAGTTCAATTGAAATTGTTTACCAAACGTTCCGAGTGATTTTTGTTAACTTGTTACTTATTTATCGTTGATAACTGTGAGTGGAATTTCTACAAACATGATGAACATGTGGAAAGTGCGGGAACTCATGGACAAGGCGTGAGTTTCGAATTCACTTATTTATACCTGTTTTCATATAATTTTGACCTTTCACTTAAGGATTCGGCTGTATTGCATAATTTTTCCGGATTTCAGGACTAATGTAGTTATGAACTACACTGAGACTGAAGCCAAAGTTCGAGAAGCTACCAATGACGATGCCTGGGGACCCACTGGTAATTATTAGATAGGAAATCACTTGGAATTTTTCGTAATTACTCTTATCGAAAATTCTTTGCTGCGAAGGAAATTTTTTTTTGTTCGTCTTTGGAGTGACCATGAAATCATTCAGATGTTGAGATTAAATACGCCTGCAAAGTCCATGAATACCTTATCTCAATGCTCGTTTACCCAGTGTTACCTGGATTAAAAAGAGAACGTTTATTTTTATTTCTGGAGATAAACTCCAAGGGAAATGATATTCACAATGAGTGTCAATATTCTACAGCTCACTCCAGTTTCCGAGGCAAAAGAAAGTGCTGGGAAACGCTCCCTCACTCCCGCCATTCCACTCGCTTTATCGTAATTTGCTTAATGAGAAAAAAGTAATTGAAGAGATAAAAATCTATTTTTGCTCTCGTTTTATTTCGCTGTGATCCCACGGGGGGCGGCGGGGGGCGAAGTATCAGGTTGTTTTCATGCACAAATGTATGTATCATTGACAGGTGCTATGATGCAAGAACTCGCCCAGGCGACATTCACGTACGAACAGTTTCCCGATGTTATGTCAATGCTTTGGAAAAGGATGTTGCAAGAGAATAAACGTAATTGGCGGCGTACGTACAAGGTAATAACCCCCCTGCACCACCAAACTTGTTTTCGTTGGTTAAAAAAATATTCCATTACTTGAATTGTACGAAAATTGAATATTGGGGCAGCAATTTGCATTCATTTCGAACTTCTAGAGGATGAGATGACATTTGCTCGTTTATTTTTGCAATTTTCATTTATTTACATTTGCGTCTAATTTCCTCTTCATTATTGATTGAAATTTTACTGACTTTGCGAAATTTTTACGAAAATATTTATTAATATCTCACCCGGAAGGTGAGTTTATACGGAAAGAATCATCCAGTATTCGAATTCATTTCAGAAGACAAAATTGTTAATTTCAGAAGACAAAATGGTTAATTTAATAAAATGAAACAATTCTCTTTATCAAAAACGATATGATATCGTTTATAAACGATATCAATGGATTTTTCTCAATTTTTCCGATCAGTATTGAAAGAAATATGAACCAATTTTTGGTGAATCTCATTAATTCGGACCCTGGAGGATTCATCTTCACCTCTTCGTCTCATTTCCCTAGAAAAACAAAATAAAATAATTTCATTTGATACAAAATGACTCCTCCAGTATTCGAATTCATTTCAGAAGACAAAATGGTTAAATTCAATAAAATGAAACTTTTCTCTTTATCAAAAACGATACGACGATATCAACCGATCTTTCCGAATTTTTCCGTTCAGTAATTCATTAATTCGGACGCTGGAGGATTCATCTTCACCTCCTCGTTGTATTTCCCTACAAAAATCAAATAAAATAATTTCAGTTGATACGAAATGACTCCTCCACTACTCGAATTCATTTCAGAAAACAAAATGGTCAATTCAATAAAATGGAACTTTTTTTCCACCAAAAACGATACGACGATATCAACCGATTTTTCCGCTCAGTAATTCATTAATTCGGACGCTGGAGGATTCATCTTCACCCCTCGTTTCATTTCCCTCAAAAAACCCAAACTACTTTCAGGCTCTCCTCCTCTTAAACTACCTCGTCCGAAACGGTTCCGAGCGCGTCGTAACATCCTCCCGCGAGCACATTTACGACCTCCGTTCCCTCGAAAATTACACGTACATCGACGAAATTGGCAAGGACCAAGGCATAAACGTTAGACACAAAGTTCGTGAACTGATAGACTTCATTCAGGACGACGACAAATTGCGTGACGAGCGTAAGAAGGCTAAAAAGAATAAAGACAAGTACGTCGGAATGTCGAGTGACGCGATGGGAATGAACTTCGGGGGTGGGGATCGCTGGTCGGACAATCCGAAGTGGACGAAACCCACGACCGAGGGGTACAACGATTGGGAGAGAGATACGAGGGGTCGGGGAGGCTTCGAGGACGGTAACAACAGTGACGATGGCGAGCGGGAGGACTCGGACAACGACAATCAGAGTCCGAAGAAGGGCGCCAAGGATGTCAAGGAGTCTCCGTTGGACAAGCTCGAGAAGCTCTCAGTGGGGAATAGCAATTCTCCTCGGAGAAATCCCAGTCGACCTGTGAAGAAGGTTGACCTGGGGGCAGCTGCGAACTATGGGAAGGATCCGAGTGCCAACAGTGGAGTCGTCCAGGGGAACTTAATATCCTCGCCCATCAAGAGTCAACCGAAGAAGAACAATGACATCTTGAACGACTTGTTCGACACCAGCAACGACAACAGCAGAACAGCTATTGATAATGACGACGATTTCAATCCCAGGGAGAGTGACTACGTTCCTGTCGCCAGTCAGAACGTCGTCAATGCCAATTTTGGAGACTTCACCAGTGCTTTCGGGGGTACTAAGCAGGATAATGACGATCAGTTTGCTGATTTTACTAGTGCTTTCAATTCCGGGGTGACGATAGGGAGGAATGATAATAATTGGGTTGCGGGAGGAGCTGCGGCGGGGGGGAGACTGGATTCCTTGCAGAGTAATCAGGAAGGCTTGAGTGGGCAATCGAATACCGAGGATTTGATGGCTGGAAATGGGCTGAGTGGGAATTTCATGAGCAGTGGACCTGTGGGACTGACGAATCAGGGAGGAGCCACTAGGACTAATGGGAATAATAATACGGGTGAGGGTGTGATCGATTGGTTTTGATGATGGAGAATGTTGCGATGGTGGGGGTGTTCTTATTGGGGTTTTTTTTTCGCAGGGCCCATGGGTGCTGACTTGCTAACGGATTTCGGGGGATTTAATGCTTTCAATGCTAATTCACAGATGGGAAATAACGCTAATTTCTTCAATGTTGCGGGCGCCAATCAACCTGCAAGTGAGTTTTCCTTTCAATCGTTTTTATATTGATAACAAAAACATCGTTAAGGTAATTTTATCAACGGGGAATCCACAATTTGATGATTAACATTTTTTTATGCTCCGATGGAATAATTTCTTATTTCGGTAGCGAAGAGGTAAACCGGGTCAAGTCGATTTTGACTATTGGCCAGTTTTTGACAAATATCTAGGAATCTAAAAGAGATAGAATTTTTTTTGTTATGACCTTTTTTGTGGAGTTGATTGAGGGTTATAAAAAAGGTCATGAGGAAAATTTTGCTATGTCTCTTAGATTCCGAGATATTAATCGAAAACTGGCCAAAAGTCAAAATCAATTTACACTGTTTGAAAATTACTCTTGAAATTTCAAGTGAAAAAGCTTGAAAATTTTAACAACCACAAAGTTACATGAAATTTCTATAGAATTCTTCATTGACGAATCAGTTAATCTCTTGAATATTCAAGTAATTCTCTGTTGTTAATGTCTAATGTTAAATTCAAGCTTTCATAGAAACATCAATGATTCTTTAACATGAAAACCCCAATTTTCTTGAATTTCCAAGATGAATGAGAAATTTAGTGAACGTTTTCATTTGAAATTGAATTCAAACTCACAACATTCAAAATTCAGATGACTTGTGACTGAAATTTCAAAAAATTTCTAACAGTGTTAACCCGGTTTACCGCTTCGCTACCGATTTGGTAACCACCAGAAAATTATTTCATCGATCGAAACAAACTCTTCGAGTTGATGGAAATGTTTTTTCCCCTGTGAACTTTATTGTCAATCTTCGATCATAAGACTATCACCTTTTTTTTGTAGAATCTCACCAACTCATTATGACCAGTAGTAACGATTCAGTTACGAAGATTCAGAAAAAAGTGGAGCTTCCATTTTGCCCCACCCTTCCCTGTCGAACTCGTAATTTATCCATTTGCATTTCAGACACCGGATTACTAGCCCCAACTCCCGTAAACACGAGGACAACTGGAGGACCGACTGAACCAACAACCACGCAAGTAGGTTCAACCTGGGCTGGTGCAGGCCTCAAGATCGATCTTGACAATCTCTTGGGGAGCAAGTCCAAATCGAGTGGGCCTGCTCCAAGCATGAATCAACTAGCTACCAACAGCCCTCAGCATCAACCTCGGCCACTCGGTAAACAATTGATAGAATATTCCCAGAATATTTTAGTTGCATGTCATCCACTGAAAAACGACTAATTCATCACTCCACCTAACTCTTCTGGTTGTTGCATTCTCTTGACAGAGGATATTGTTTCAGCCCCCAGTGTGAACCTCGGGCCACCGATGATGCAGTCCCCAGGCCAGACTAGTACCAATTTCTTTCCAACTTTTCCCTGAGATATCCACATCACACGGTCAACAAGTCAGGTAAAATGATGGGTCAGACTGGAAGTTTGTGAGTTTATTTATACCCCACCCTCGATATTTTTCCATTTTTGGGAAGTTGTGCAGCTGAACGTTCACTATTTTGCAATTGAGGAGAGACTCTGGAGACATTTAGGTAAAAATTACAAGACGTTTGAGAAATGATAAAATGTTCGAGAGTAGCTTCAGGTATTTTTCAGGCCTGGTTGCACTGAATCTTCAATTCCATCTGGTTATTGACAGTGGCTATTTCCTATAAATACAGCAATAGTGTTTGGTGCAACCAATACAACAGGACAACCATCGATGCATCCATTCTATGCAACCAAGCCTCACCTGGCAATTGATATTATCCCACTATTCTCCTCAGTTGCAGGATTTATCGTAGAAACATTTGACCTCAGTGTATAATAAAGAAGAATCCGTGTAACGAGTTCGTTAAGATTTTCGGAGGAAAGTGTGAATAAATAAATAGCCAAATGTCATTTTTTATAAAAGAAAATGTGGAAATAATCCATCACTCGGAGATGTCTTTCAATGAACGATAACGAAGTGAAAAAAAATGTTGTTACATACATATATATTATTAATTATTAATATACATGGATAAATATGATATAGGACTTAGTCGCTGTTGTACAACGCGACACCGAGAGTAATTGACAATACGTGCTTCCTCAACACGAATTACATTTTTGCACTGGGAGAAGAATTGGCGAATTTGTTAGGAGATAATTGTATGGAACGGTGCACAGCAGTGATCGTGATCGAGTCTCTGTGATCGATAATCATGTGTGGAGGAGATTTTTGAGTGATCATTTGGGAATGTATCGGTAGAATGATGATAAATACTAAAATTTGCTGTCACAGCACAAGAAAATGCGCAATCGTTCGTACGTCAGGATTAGATGATTCATTTTTATCCCAAAGATTCTTCTCTAATCAGTGAAAGCAATGCATTTTAATCGAAAATAGGTTGAAAATTGATATTCGAATGAGTGCATTCCTCAAGAATCAGAATGACATGACGATGAATTTTAATCGAGTTGTGAAGAAGCGCATATCTCTAACGATGATTCTTAACATCTGTCACTATTAACGAAGATAATTATTAGCCGTTAAAATACTAACATAGATCATTAACGTAATCAGTACTTGCAGTAAATTTTATAGAGCAAATGAGAGAAACGAACTTATTTTTCAAAGTGGATAATTAACGCAGCGAGTTGTCCCGAAATTTTATGACATTTCCTCTTCTAGATAACGAAATTCATGATAATGTGTTCGCAGGTACCTCACGAAAGAGTGGAACGTAATCATTCCAAAATTGATGATTAATAGAGTGTAATATATTGTAAAAAGAAGGGAGGAGGAAATAATTTATCAGAATGAAACAGTCATTTATTGAAGAATTGGAACATATCCATCCTCTGATTCGAGTTTCCTTGGTTCGATGCCTGCCGTTATTCGAGAGAATGTGCTCAGAATTAATGAGTTGAATCTGGTTCACTTCCAAGTTGATTCTCCTGCCAATAAATTTACGTTTCAATCACGCATTTTTTTAATTTTTTTAAGATGCATCTCAGAGACTGTCTTTTTGGGTTTCTCCGTCGACTTTTCAGCAGAATAAAAGGGAGATGAAGATTTTTCTAAAATTGTTACGATAATTGTTGGGGGATTGTGGAGCGAATGGACACTTTCAATGGAATTCAATTGAAAAAGCGTTCATTTCGCTTCATGTTTCCCTCTGTCTCTTAATTTCCATTCAATTCTGCATTTACTCAGCGCAAATGTTGCAAGATTTTTGACAGTATTAAGGTGTAAAAAACATGTAAATAAATGCGCAGGATAAAGAGAGGTACATGAGACATGAATAAATCACAGACGTGACACAGACGTTGAAACATAAAATTGAGGAAAATTGAATGGTTGTGTCAACTAATTTTTAAGAGTAGAAGAGAATTCTGCGTGTACTTGATTGTCCTTCTAGCCAAGGTGATTAACGAAAAAAAGTTCGAATATGTTTCTCCTCTTTCGTTAATGAATTAAAACGAACGATTCATTAATTCCAGTTGATGATGTGTATTTTCTCTATCACTGTACATAGTATGAATGTTAAGGGAATCATTGTGAATATTCGTACGAATCAGTGGTGAACATGCAACGATTAGCATGGTTTTCCTCAATTGTACAATTATATTAAGAAAAAAAATACAAATTAATAATCATTAAACGAATTTTATTTTCTCGTATCGATTCATGAAGACATTCTGTTTATACCATTGTATTCAATTTTATGGTTGTAGTTATGTTGTCGATAGTTTTTATTTTTTTTTCTTCATTAAAAATGCTCATTGGTGCTGGTGTTAAATGTCGTTTCATTTTATTTTCATCCTGAATTCCGAAAGATTCATTTTTCTCACGGAATAATAAAAAAATACAATTAATTCTGCATTATTCATTTATTAAATCTCCCCGTAATCTTGGTGAGACGAAAAAAGTTGCAATTACACTCTATTTCCTTAACAAAAAATCCGGAATATTACAACTGTATTTTTTACTGGAATTGGAGGAATCATTGAAGTCTTGTTTTCCATTTGCCTGTCAAAATCTGTCTATTGTACTGTAATAAAGTCAAGAATTACCATAAAAAACTGTTTTCCTCACAAAGTGACCACGAAACCTTACAAAAATGTATTAATCTCCCCTGACGAGGTGAGCAAAAATTACTCAGTAATGCTCTTCGACTTCTTTTTCTTCTTCTTCTTAGGGGGTGCCTCCTCCGCATCCCCATTCACCTCGCTCTTCCCATTGACCTCCTCAGCCCCATTGGCCTCGCCATTGAGCTCCCCATTGGCCTCCTCATTCTTCCTCTTCTTCGCCTTCTTCTTCTTCTTCTTGATGGACTCATCAGCCTCTGCACTCTTCTCCTCCTCCGCCCCAACGATCAGGGCGGCCTCCTCCAGTGCCTCCTTCATAACATCGATATTCTTCTTCGGAATATCTCCAGTTTCATAGAACTTGAGTCTGTCCTCCACTTGTTGTCTGAGTTTCTCCCCAAAAACAGTAGTTGGAATATCAGTGAAGCAATCGATTCTCGAGGCAATCGAGCATTTATTCGCAAGATACCTCGATATTCTGCCCTTGTTCTTCGTCCCCGCTCTTCCAATGAACGTTGAGTGGAAGAGAAGCCCATATTTTGGAGTATTTCCCTTGGTCTTCAGAGCTCTGAAGAGTGCCTTCTCCGCCCCCAGGATCTGCACAGTTGACGCCGGATATTTCGCCAAATTTGTCAACGATCCAGCATGCGCAATCAGCCGAGCTCCAACCTGATCTCCAATGAGGGTCGCCAGGTTGGGAGCAACTCCACTCATCTTCGTCCTGAGGTACTCGGCCAGCTGCTTTCTGTAGTCCGCAAGGGCGATCACTCTCCCAGCGAACATGTCGATGTTCAGGAGGTCCACTGCTGATATGTCCATCCCCATCGACGTTTTCGAGGCCGCTATGATCGCCTGGGCCTTCCCACTGTCCATCACGATCTCCTCGAGGGCCTCCAGCTTTTCCTCGTTCAATTCCTTTCGGTCTTTTATCAGTTTAACGACTTTTGCGTACGTATAGTTCTCGGGAATGATTTTAACGAGCTCGGGGAAGTGGTAGCTGTACCACTCGCGGATTCTCATGCTGAAGGTGTTGACGTCCTTGTCAAGTTGATCGAGGAGAGCGATACTTTGGATGATCATGTTGTCGACACGATTGACGTTGAATTTGACTTTAGCTCGGGAGTAGCTGTGGCCCAGGCCCAGTTGGGCGACTCCTGAACTCTGGGCTGTTAGACCTTTCACCAGGTGGTGGAAGTGGAAACGAATGCCTCGGATTATCTCGGGAATTGCTCCTGTGTGGTCACATTTTATGCTCAGGGTCTCGCTGATGCTGGCGCCGAGCTTGGGGTCTGACACTCCTAGGAGGTACTTGGATTTCTTCTCGGGTTTCGGGATGCAGGTGTCCAGGAAGAGCTTCAGGTCCTCCGGGACTATGCCTTCTGAGATGCTGTTGATGCTCTCCAACGCTGCGAGGGCTGTTTTGAAGGGGGAGAAGCCGATCAACTTCACGATGGCGTTGAAGCGGGAGAGGTCGGTCACTGACGCCTCCACCTGGGGCAGCAGCATGCCGATCTCCTCGAACTCTTTCACGCTGAACACCGCGTAGCCTGCGGCGTGCTCGTAGAGGATGAATAGCTTCGGCTGGAATAGTTTTGGTTTATTGGGGAGGGTTTTGATTGTTTGGGGAGCGGATGAACGGCTATTTTGCTTCTCAAAAGAATCATTTTCAAAGGAAATTCGGTAAAGTCGAAATGTTGAAAAATGGGAGGTAACATTTTTTAATTAATGTTCTTGATTCAAGAATGTAAATCTCTGAGTGGAAAAAATACGTCTTTGATTCAATGATGAAAAAATTCTTCAACTGAACGTCAATCGGTTTAAGTCAACCCAGTTGACTTTTTTGAGGTGAGTTTTGATGTTTGTAAGATCTTTTTCGATAGTCCTCACTTTTTTTTATGAAAAAGATTTCTAGGAAAATTTTGTTAACTCCGTTAGAAGTTGAGATATTCATCGAGAACTCGCGCTAGAGTGGATGTTTAGCCAGTGTCGGTAAATTGTCGGTAAATGTGTTTTTTTATGGCAAGGAAAATTCTGTAATTTTTTCGGCTGACAGCAGAACATATGAAGCAAACTTTTCTAACGCTAAAAAAATTAATCGCAACAGTCTCGGCAGATATGAATAAACTAATTTTTCCTTATACACGGGCTCTTGCGAAATTTATGTTCAAATTGATAATACACTTACGAGAAGACTAAAAATAGAAATAAAAATAGAAGGTAATGTGTAAAATCATATTGAATCCAATGGCCAGAGAAAAATCTGAGGTACCCGGGGAAAAAGAGGAAATATTTGAATGATTCTATCCCACATAAGCCCATGTTAGCGCATACTTTTGATGCATTTTATCTATTTCATATCTAAATAATGAACATGGGTTGGTGGAGGGTAAGGTACAACGGACACTTTAGACTTTTTTAGAATTATTCATAACGCAGAAACAAATTGATGAATTGAGCTCAGTTTAGGCTCGTCACAGGGAAATAATTATTCTTTGTATTAAAAAAAAATTATTAAATTTCATCAACATTTCAACCCCTCATTCACATTTTAAAAAAAGTCAAAAATGTCCGTTTTGCCCAAACCTCCCCTACTCTGCAATGTAAACAAACAGTGGACCACGTCAAATAATGGCAAACAGATTGCCCCGGAGTAATCACACACAAAAAATTAATTAATTCCACAAAAAGCCCGAAGACAGTGCGTCTGAATTTTTAGATTTCTTTTCCATAATAACTGAGACGCACTCGCTCCCTTAACCTCTACTTCTGCGTTGGAAGAGACCTTTCCATCATTATTAAAACAATTTTATGATGTACTCACCATGATGAGCGGCGTCACACCCTCGAGAGTAATAAAGAACTATATATTTCACTCCAAAATGCGAAATTACAGCATTTTTTATCACCAATCAGAGAAAGATCCACCAAGCACGTGAAGTCACACATGTGCCTGGTGTGCGTATCGGAAGTACCACGTGCCCTCCGAGGCAAAATGTCCGCCAGGCAGCTTCCTGTGACCATCTGATTGCCTTACCAACTGCTGACTTGCCATTTGAATATGGTAGACGCATGCCCAACCCAGCTAACACTGCGACAAAATTTGAACGTCAATCAATATGGCGGCTGTTGCCAGGAGCAGAATCCTTCCAGTCTCAACCAACACCAAATGTGTGAGGATTTTTTTCTGTTTACACAAGTGACAATTTCGTTGAGCTGTGCGCCGACTGACAGCCCCAGGTATTTATTTGAAACAAGCACTTTTGGAAATTAATGATGCATGGTAACAGTGAGTTGTGGATCCGCCTAGCTCTCCGCAAGTCTCATTTCAAGTACTTTCCACCAGTGGATTTATTGTTCCCGCCCGTTACTGTCGTCCCGTGACCTTCGAAACAATTGTCGCGATTTGAGGACTTTCTTTGCTCTTTTCTCCTAATTTTGCCGAAGCCCCTAGGCTCTTGCGATTATTTACACGCATACGCTTTTAAGAATGTAACGTCTGGTGATACGTTGTTTGGATCTTCTATTAGAGACAATAGTGTGGGGAATCGACCTTTTCATTCTGGGAATTTAGGGGGAATATTTATTCCGTTGATCGAACTAAAAAATCGGAAGAATAATCAAAAATTCTGATAAATGTTGACATTTAAGACGAGATACACTTGAGCTCTCGAAAAGATTTTTAATGTAAATTCAGTAAAAGTCTCCGAAATTCCTAGGGGAATTAACATGGGAAAAAATATCCAAAAATCTAGGGACTCTCAAGATGGAAAGGTCTATCGATGAGGCGACAAGGCCGTAGGGCTCTCTATGACATAAAATTCCATAAAAACAGAGAAAACATGTTGAGGAGTCGACTCAATGTGAATTGCCAACATTTTGGTGTTGGATGAGAGAGTTTTAATCGAAGAAAACGATAGAGAAAGATCAGAGACTCATATTTGATTGAAAAATTCCAAAGAAAGTAAAAATAAAAATATTGAAACGTTGATGTGTAAGTGTGAATGACTCAAATTCAGTCATTTGGAGGAAAAACTCATTATGGCTAACTACTTTCTCTTTCTAGTGCTTGAATTATGCACTATGTCATTCGGCAGAGATGCTAATGCAGATGCAACAATGAGAAAATAGAGAAATCACAGCTTGAGATCAAGGTAATGCTGATTAAACGGTAGTTTCAATGTGCGAACATGAATTTTGAATACTCATGTGGTTTTCAGGACGATAACCGAGGAATTCAATCAAATTTACTGATCTAATCAAATTATTATTGTCAAGCAGTTAATTATCACCTCATTAGTTCGAAAATTAATTAATCGTCAGTCGTTGGAGAACTATCCCCTGGAACTAGGGAATTGATTCATTCAAACACAATGAGAATAAATTTTTTCTTTCATTATTTGAAAATTTTTCTCTATTTTTAAATTTAAATGACGAATAAAAATCCATCGATATTCCAAAATGCAGCAGTACAATGAAGATCTGGAATGCAGGAATTACAAGGAATTTATTCTGAACCCTTTGAGAACAACGTTCATCTCTGCTCATTCATTTTTCTTCTTTATTTCGTAAATTTATATACAATTCGCTATCAACGAATAAAAAATAAAATCGAAGCTTCATCGACATTTCACAATGCAGCACTGAAGATATAGAATGAAGGAGGGAAATGACTTGAATTATGATTCATCCTGAAGATGCAATATTTCGCATTTGTCGAACAGCAGCAACGACCCGAGCATTACAGCCTGAGCAGCCGGACTGATACTCCTCCGGCGATAATCTCAGTAGCGTTGACATCTGCTGAAGATTGTCCGACAGGGAGAGTCCCAATTCCTCGAGCACATTCCCCAGATAATCTGCAAAACGAAGATATTGAAAAGCACGTAGGTTTATAAATAAAGCTTTAGTAAATTAGCGAGCCGAAGAAATAAAAACAAAAAGATATGTCAAAAAAGGAAAAAGAAAAGAATGAGAGAAACAATTGAGAGACGCCACCTTCAGAGGAGAGGTTCAGAGGAAAGAAAAGAATGCGTAAATAATAGAATAATTGGAGAAATTACAGATTCGTTACACTACAATCAACACCAGAGAATCCAAGACAAGATGAACCTCAAAAAGTCTGAGAAATCCTCAACTGAAGTTGAAAAAACCGGTAATATATCAGAGATTTTCACCTATATCAGTAGCAAGTTGCTTGCAAGCCCCAGAATTGAGTTCGCAAATCCCCAGTGCCTGATCCTGGAACATCTGGCAAGTGCCCTTGGCAACAATTCCCAGCAGAGTCCCAGTGAATCCGCCGTCAGAAGTCCCTTGCGTGTACTGAGCATCAGCAGCCCTCAGGGCGTGCACCAAACTCGGATTATCCCTCAGCAGAAATGGCTCCAAATGTTGAGGAAGTGTCATGAGGTACTGCCCCACCTGAGTGATATACTCCTGAGGGGCGAAACTGTAGTCAGGCAGGTCAGACGATAGGCCCTGTACCTTCCCACCGTCTCCATGCCAGGCTGGGGCCCTCTGAATGAGCAGGAGTTGCGTGAAGATGGGAGCGAAAATGACTTCATAAGTCGTGTGATGGAGATCAGAACACAATTTGTAAACAGATTCAGTGACAGACGCTAGAAGTGTCTTCTCGTCGTTCTGGTTCAACGACTTCACCAGCTTGTCGAACTCCTGACGTCCATTTGGACTCAGCAGCAGAATTTTGAACCTGCTGAAGACACCTGCAGCTCCACTCTGGAACTTGTTGTTCGCCTCCACAATACTCACCACCAGAATCTTCTCGAACTCCTCAATTTGCACCAAGAAATTACCGATGATCTGCATCAACGTCAGACACATTTGGAAGAGATTCCAGTCCTCGTGCTTTGTCTTCCTCTTCTCCAGCTGCTTCACGCAGCTTGTGAATCTGTCCAGGTACTGGAGGAAGTAGGTATTGAGGGCTTTGAGGAGTTCTGGGTATCCACAGCCCTCGGTGAAGAGCTTGCACCTCTTATTTGCCTCATTTGCGTGATCAATCGCTCTGGAAACACTCAGAGACAGCGAATTTATTGTATCGCTCAGATCCTCGTGGCTTGTCTCGATGGAACTCAGGTTTTCAGTCAATTGTCCTGATGCATACGTCGAATACTTGGATACGTGGACAACGTAAGGAGAATAAATCGACTGGGCGAGGGCTAGGAGCTTATCCTCTGACTTTTGCTGAGTCGAGAAGATCTCCAGAGATGCGTTCAAGTTTCTCGCAAAGTTCTGAGTTATTCTTTTGAGCTCCAGGAGGAGATCCAGTTGGAGGGGGGGTGACAGGTACTTGAGGGCCCCCGAAATGGTGTCGTGAATGCTGGGGTCCAGTGAGCACAAGACGTCCGCGTAGATGTCTATGAGGATCTCTGTGGACGGGGTTGGGAACACTTGGTTGCACCACTTCACCTGGTCGTGCCATTCCAGTAATAGTTTGTCGTAGAATGCGTTCAACCAGGAGGTTACGTTCTCGTCCATCGAGACTTCACGTATTCTTCGCCATTCCTCGCATAGAGATACTTTTAGACAGTTTTGGTAGTACTTGAGGAGTTGGGGGAGTCTGTCCATTTTGCTGAAGACGTTTACGTACTGCTTAGACTCGTCTGTGAAAGCAAAGATGTTCAGTCATTTCGGGATTTTTTTAGGAAATTATTCTCTTTTACCTAAATTTCGGACTGTGAACGCTTGCACCAGTTTTGGACTGGCCATCGCTTCCAGACGATTTTTCAATCCCTCAAGTTGTAGCTTTTTGTCCTCGTAGTCTACAGCGTTTGATAGCATGGAGAGTGATTTCTGCATGGAAAATAGCTTTCCACCTATACTGTCAATCTCACCTGACTCGAAGACCTTGATAACAATGAAGATTTTTAAACATTGGTGGAGAAAATGGAAATTTTTAGTCTGTGCGGCTTGTAGAATAACAGTGTTTACCTCCTCGAGATCATTTGCAAGAACACTCCAATTGTCCGCTTCATGAAGACTTTGTTTGGCAACTTGAAGCTCTGTTTTCACCCTGTCTATTTTTTCCAGAGCTGTCATGGACAGGGCTGTATCCTTCTCCACCTTGAACCGAGAGTCAATGGTAAATCAGTTGAAACGTATTGGCAATTCTGTGGCAATTTTTGTTGCGACTAATTTTGGGGTGATTACCTTTGCTATTTCTTGTTTGACAGTGACCATCTTTTCTTTGAGGGCCAATGCCTCCTGCTGGAGCAACTGGGTATCCCTGAGGATTCTGGGAAGACTCGAGAGAACAGACTGGCTCGTTTCTTCGAGGGAACCGTTCACTTGTTGTACGTATAATTGAAGTTTCATTACCAGGGAAGACACAAATGCCTTTGAGAACCATGCAACATAACTAAATTTAGAACATTCCGGCAGTTGAAAAAAAATTTTTCTTCAACGTCTTTCAGCATTTCCTCATCATTCAGGGCACTGAGAGAACAAGTATTTTTTGAGACGTACTACTTTACTTGTATCCAGAAATTCGTGGCTTGATAATTATCAAGCGAGGTTTTTGAGGTGTCAAAAAAATTCATAATTTTTTCACATCCAATGAAAAAAAAAATCACATTTTAATCTTTGATTACAATGGAAATGTTGATTTTCACGTAAGACACTGGGTTAAGTCCTGATTTTTAAACATTTCCTCTTTGAAAAACCAAAACGATGATTAAATTGAGAAAAAAATTAGAATTCCGAATCGATTAGAGTTTTCTGCAATTGTTTTGTAGTTTTCAATAATCTTTGAATTCACCGTAAGCGTCGAGCTACTTTAAGATATTTTAGAATTGAGACTAAAAAACTATGAAATGAATTGATTTAATTTTACTTTGTTTGAGAAATCGCTTTCTTGTCATCAAGATATTTTACTCTTGAAAATTTTCAAGTCAGAAGTTTCTCGGCACAAGTAAAGACGTATTTCTCAAAAACCTTTGTTTTCGTCAGTGTACATTGAAGAAAAATAATGCTTTGATGAATGCAGATTGTCGTCAGTTTTATTTAGAAAATTCGCACAAGTAATTGCGACCCTAACAAAGCCACAAAAATAGCTCTTGTTAATCAGAGTCAATGCACGTCCAGCAATTCACACCAGAGAGAGAGAGAAAGAGGGAAAAAATATCGGGGGAAACAGAACGGAATCAAAATAGAAGTTCAATTCCATTCCGAGGCATTGGAATTGTTTTCGAAAAATAATCGCAAGAAATGTTTTCATTCAAAAAATCCGAGTCAACAGTCTCACGCATTTATCATCACCATTTTCGTTATTTTTCAATGGAAAACAACCAAATTTTGCTTTCAATAATAATTAATTCTTTCGTGATAATGAAATCAGGCAATCAATATCTAAAAAAATAAATGAATAAAAAAAAGGAACAGAACTGAAAAAAATTGAAATTGAATTTCAGTTCAAGACATCCGAATTCTGTTTGAAATACAATCGCAATGAGAATTTCTCACTAAAAAAAACAAGTCAACGGACTCATGCAATTGTTATCATTATTTTCGTTATTGTTCAATTAAAAAACAACAAAATTTCGCCTCCACTAACAATCAATTCTCGTACGATAATAAAAGCAAACAAAGAAAATCAGACAGACAAAGTCAAAAAAATGAATGAAATAAAAAAAAGGGAGAAGAAAATACGAGTTATCATTAAAAAAGGCGAGCGATGTCATTGACCGCAGTGTCAATGAGACGAGAGCCGCTTGGTCACTCGCTGAACTCGCAAATGCGCCGTTCAATTTCAAAAACATTTAATGAACTTAAAATTGCTCCTCTCGTGTTTTTCGAACCCCGTGAAATACCGGAATTCACTGTTTCCCCGTTAAATATTGAAAAAAACAATTGTTTATTGATCTGTGACTCACGTCTTTGTCTTCCAGTGCATCAGTGGATTTAAAAGTTTTGTTTATCCACTCTTTAACATCGAAATCCTTCTCCGAGAATGCTGAAACGTCCTGGAAACATCGTTTTGAGGTTAGCATTTATGACTTCTCTCTCATTTTCATTTTCATTCGTTTTATTTTCAAGTTATTCCCTCAATAGTGTCATTTGTCATTATTTCCGCTCTCTGCGATGGAGTTTTCAGTTGCAAGGGGAAAACATTTTCACAGTTTAATCACGACAGACACGTAATTGATGATTCATATGGAAGAAATAATAACTCCAACAATTTTCTCCTTATTTTCATGAGTTTCTTTTTCTGGAAAAAAAAACCACTCACCATATTTTTACTCTTGAGTTGAACCTCCCTATAGTTTGATATATTTTTCTTTATTTGATGACGTTTCGTAAGGACACAACAGTCCGTGGCCAGCACACTGCGACACGAGTGACGTCACAAATAGTTGGTAAAGTGGAAAACTGCATTTTCCGGCCATTATTCGTGTCTTTACAATTATTATTTTATATTTCTCAATTTTTACTGCTTCAAAAGGCACTTCGACAGTATTGTTTTCCCCCTCGAAATATCCGTTAAAATACTTCCTCGTTGATTTCAACCAATTTCCAATTTCCGCCTCGACATTATAAGGCGATAAATTATTTAGATTTATTTCCAATCTTATCCACAAGTTCCATAAAAATGCTATTGTTTCGCTCTAAAGTACCCCGATAACGCTGGGGGAACATCCGCTTTCGTAGCCTTCTGTCAATTTTTTTTCCTTCATTTTTTGACTCGAAAAAACTATTCAGACCACGACGCTGTTATTTTCAATTATTTTTCATTTCACAATTCATTTTATTCTCTTTGCTCGAGGGGAATGAAACAAAATTCATTTTAACAGTTGAGCAACCATGGCCACCACGAAACAAAAATGAATAAATTAAATTGAACGACAGTGGGAATACAAGGTGGAAGGAGATTTAAAATGCAATTTTAGGTGTGAGAAGGAGAGAGTTTCGTAATTACCGGAGCTTTTGCATTAAACTTACCGGTCCTTGCCGCGTGTGCGCATTGTCGGCTGTGCAACAGTTTGGAATTTCTCTCAATCTCAAAAAATTACATGATCAAATTTGAAGTGACAGTTGAAAAGTCACAGTTGAAGCTTCACCGGACCAAAAATGTAAATAAAAAAATAAAGAGAAAAAAGGGGGAATTTAATTCTCTGCATAATTAACAAATAGAAAACTAATTAACGATTAATTTTGCGGTCACCCCTTCCCACCTTGGGTGAAAACCAATAGAGCAGAGTTTGCGCATAAAAAAATGATGAGAAAAAACAAATTTTCAATTATAATGAAATGAAAGAACTCGAGGGGGTGGGGTGTAGGATAGAATTTAATAAATCAAATTATTTGCTCCCTTCGGTTGATAATTTTCTCGATAAATCACAGACTCTTGGGTGAATATCAGTGAGAATTCTGATATTCTTCGCAAGCCAATGGCAAAGTCCCTTTAAAACGCTTTTAAATACACGAGAAAAAGACCAAGAGAGTTTTCAGTGCCCTTCGAACGATTCCAAGTGTGCGAATGTGAATATATGTGTGTTCACGTGCGAAGGCCAGTTATGGAGGAGAAAGAGGTGAAGCTGGCCTTCGGCATTCGAGAATTCGGAATACACTGTAGAATTGAAAATGTTATTTCAAAGCTTACTGTGGCGTTTTGATAATTACTGGGGCTCATAGGGGGGGGGGGGGCAAATGGAATGCTAATGACATTATGGATGATATTGTTCTTCAATGTAGAGGATTATTGTGTTAATCAGTCATTTTAATGGACATTTTATTCTCACATGGCTTCAGTACCAAGTGGAGTCCCATGGAGTTGGGACTCATGGCACTACAGCCCCGACCTCGTTCAACGTATAACCAACATAACTTCAAGTACTAAGGTAATCGATGTGATTACCCAGATACATTAACATTCAAGTTATCGAGGAGATCCTGGTATTTTAAATTGTTTTCATTCTCGTCGACAATCAGATGGTGAGTCATTTTTCAAAATCCTGGTTTCCTCGCTGATAAAAAAAAATTATAATATGAAACTAAACAAAATTATGGATTAGAAAATGGAGTTTTAACGTGTTAAAAGACAACTGAAATTAAGGAAAATTAATTTATATATGTGGAATGAGAAAAATCATTGGATTGCAAGAAACTCAGACATGTAAGACCCATTAAAAACATTTTAAATTTAAGATGCGATACTAAGGTCTTTTCATTGTAATCATTCATGTTCATCCCTATCCCTCCTGTGTTCACTTGGGCTCCACTAGCGCTTTGGAGATTGATAAGTAATGCTAGTTTCGACGGTTGCGATCAAGGTTTATGGACCAGCCGTTGAATTATTGTTTTTTATTCACACTATCCCTGACTATTTGCGAATTACTGAATTCTGCCAAAAGCAAGGATTAGATATTTTGACTCTTGTACTCTCCTGTGCTATCCCGGCAGAATGACTGAAGGTATCGATGTATTCATGTCTTGATCAGTGTTCATCGTTCCCTTTATTGGAATCTTGTATGTTGATGGGCATCAGGCATTATTCCCCGAAACTCAGAGCATCTACATGGCTTTAAAGTAGCTCTACCCTTCGGCCGGGCTACATTGTACTTTTGGATATTTTCAAAAATAAATTTTTGAATTTTTAATTTTTTTTTTTGAATTTTTTCAACTAAATTGAATGGAAAAAATTTGACAAAATTCATACCCAGTCAGTATTATCTAAATTAAATTTCGCAAAATAGTGATATTTTTTCAAATATTTCTCTCTTATAAATAAATAATAAAACTTGTTTGCAAAATGGTGGATTATTTTTTATGAGGTGTAAAAAAATTCTCGAGTTTTTCACATCTAATGAAAAAAAAATCAGATTTTAGTCTTTGAAAAATCAAAACGATAATTAAATTGAGAAAAAAATTAGAATTCCGAGATTAAACGAGTTTTCTGCAATTTTTTTGCAGTTTTCAATAATCTTTGAATTTACCGTAAGGGTAGAGCTACTTTAACAATCTTTTCTTTTCGAACGCACAACAAAGTTATTCATCAATTGGTCAGTAGTGAAGAGGCAGACCATTTCTCGAGGTCATGAAACCCATAAAAAATGGACGAAGTGTACTGCAATTATTTTATTTCTCAGTTTTTCAGTGTAAATTTACTCAGAATTTTAATTATTGTTAATGGCATTTTAATCGGAATTTTATTTTAATCGTCCATTGTGCCTCTTAACTATTGAATTCATCAACAATAATTCGGAATCCCGGCTGAGCATGCAGAAACTCAGCCTTCAACGACAATCCGGCTTTCTTAATTCAAACTGAAACGTGTATCTAACCCCATTCAATTTGTAAGTACTGTTAGAAACTTTCGAAAAGACAATCAATAGATTCGCTCTCCAGCCAGGAATTACTCTCCACGGGGCTTATAATTTCAATTAGAGTCGGGGATTTTACATTCTCAGTATCGCAAAATCCAGCTCATTTCATGATTTTTATTTCGAAATTGTTTTTTTTTATCGCGAGAGTAGTAAAGAGAGACGGAACTGGCGACAAAAAATGTGGATTAAATTTTTCTCCTCGGCTCAAATCCTATTATACCTGATCGATACTTCTCGAGCGTATCCGCGAGGGTCCTTGAACCCTATCCCATCGTTTCTTGATCCAATGAAACGTACAAAATCGAATGAAAAGTGTAATAATTGTGATCGTCGCAGTAGAACGGATTCAGCGAACAAACATTCCTCTTTTCCAAAATTCTCATGGAATCATTGAGCTTGAAATTCCACGGCCCGTTGTATCGTTGCATAAATCATCAATTTCATTCGCATCTGCAGTCCAATGCAATTATTCTATTTTTCGTTCTTGAATCCCTGAATTACTGCTGATCAAGTATTTTGCAAAGAATTCAAAACCCTATTCTGCTTTACCGACAGTTTCCCCTCATTTTCTAAAAAAAATCAGCAAACAGCCAAACTGTACAAAGAATCCGGATCGACCGGTAGATCTCCATCCCCCCTCCGCCACCACTTTTCCCATAATTCCGCGAGTATTGATTTTTTATGAATTCTTCAAACGGCACTATCCTCCTCGTACGGACTGCGGCATAAAACCGAAGAAAGAACCCTCAATCCCACCTCCTCGCAAATGGAAAAAGGCAAAGAAATGAAAAAAAATCCCCCCCCACCTTTGCAAAACCAAAAAAAACGTCCCCTCCCTCTGCTCCAACCGAGGAGAAAAAAAAAATTGAAAAAGGAAATAAAGGCGGCGTATATTTGCGCGGGTCGCAGAGACGAGAGTGCACGACCGGCGGCGAGAATTGCCGAGTGAAATGGCACAAGAGGGAGTGATAGAAATTTCCCCTCGTTCTCTTTCTCCCCTTCCCCCCCTCGATAATCTCCCTCCCCTTTGTTGCCCCACCCTTTCCGCCTTCAGCTTCTCACGTATAATATTCTCCTGGCATTTTTATTTTACCGCATCGCAAAATGCTCCGTCTCACTCTCTCCCAGCAATTTCCTTCAGTTCATTCGCATCTCTGTCTTTTCATATTTTTCTCCTCCCCTCTTCTCAGCGCCAAGCTCACCACCCCCTCGTCCCGCATTGCCCCCTCCCCCCACTTATTTTTCCTCCCTCCATCCCCACTCCATTTCTCATCGCCTCACTTCTTAACGTCAAACCACTTAGGGCTGTGGAGCCTCTCGGCACACAACACATCCGTGTTTTTCAGTTAAATCGAAATCTTTTTTCCAATTCACATTCCGGCATTTTCCACCTGATCGGGTGCAGGGCAATTCAACACGCCATCTTGATTACTTCATATCTATGTACATATATATCATTATATATACAATATTGAATTTGTAATACAACACGCGTTTTGTGTTCGCTGGTTTCGTTTGATTTTCGTTATTTTTTTTCATTTAACGGTTATTGAGAGGTGGATTTAAGTGTGTGATATTGTGAATTGTGGCACTCGGAAACCCCTCCCGGCGTTCTGTGGTACGTGAAAACGAAAAACAAACCCATTGAAACTGTGAGACAGTGGTTTTCTTTGATTTCTCTCTCTCTCTCTCTCTGTCGAGATTTTTCTTCCCCCCTCCATTTTGGAGCTGCGAGGAATTTTTGGGGGGGCTTTTTCGGGTCTCTTTTATGTACTAAACCGATATGTGTCGTCGGTGTGAGTGCTGGCGAACTGTGAGTGTGTTCTGTGTGTTTACTTCAGTACGTTAAGTTGAGAAGTTGAAAAGTAAAATTGAGAGAATAAGAAACTGGATTAATTGAGCACAGAAACAGAAGCGAGGGATTTAATAAACGTTGAGCAAAAGAGTGGGAATAGAGACGTGTCTGAGTGGTTTTGAAGCTCTGGTGCTTCCTCGGAACTTTTTTTTTCTTCATCCACTCGGCGCTGCGAAAAAAAACCGTAAGTACTCCAAATTGGAAATATTTTTGTTTTCACCTTGACGAGAGAGACATTCCTCGGTGGGGAAAAATACCGAGCGGATAACTGTCCGTTGAATTCCTCTCAATTGATACTTTGAAAATGTCGACAAATAAGAAAATCGAAGTGGAAAAAAAATGTAAATATCATCGTGTTGTTTTTACTGTCATGCGAGAAGTTCTGGCGCGTTTCACTCTGTTTTTACGCGCGTGCGTCTCCACGTTTTGTTCGAGTGTGCGCGCGAGAGGTAGAGGCATCTGTCGATGTGTGGGAGACCTGGGGATCATGTGTGAGGGCTAGAAAACGGCGTGTCCGTATTTCTTTGGTAAAACAAAAACTCCTAGGCGTTGTATTCGATTTTTCGAAGGCATCTCCTCACTTCTTCATTTCTTCTTCATTTCTTTGGAATTGGAGGCCACCCTCGCGCTCTTATTTTTCCATTTTCTTTACTCGCCGATTTACGCCTGCACTGTGCAACGCGTATCCAACGTTTGCTTTTTTTGCTGGCTCTCTCGAGCGAAAATAAAGGATGGCGAATGGCCTTCTCTTTGAGGTTATGATGGTGGTTCACTTGAAAAGCCTATCTGTGTGTTTTTCCTCTCCTCCTCCCTTTCTCTTGTTCTGTCTTGGTTTTTTTTTTCTATTATCAATTTATGGTCTCTCGCTACTCCTATGGCTGGCGAGGGTAATCGCGCGCATGGGCAACGCCATGTAAGATGGGATACTCCATACGCCCCCCTCCCCCTCCGCCCCCCTTTTTCGAACCCTCCCCTTAATTTTATTTTTATGCTTTTTTAGATTTGATCCGGTCGCTTGTTTTCTTTCGTTTTCGTTTTTTTTTCTCACGTTTACGATTTTTTTCCCCCCTCTTTTGAGCGCCTGAATTTTTTTATTGAAGACTTTTTTTTAGAAAAGGAGCACGACGCCTCGAATCGATATTAATTTCTAGAATGCTCGAGCCGACGGCTGCTAAGGAGAATAAGAATATTGTGTGGGTGGAGGGGAGGGTGATTTATTTCGGGCGCTCTTGGGCATTCAGTGCTGATTTTTTGGCAATTGTTGGGAAAAGACTGATCTCGCGATTCTCGGCTCTCGCCTTTTTACTCTTTACTCCCGAAGCTACTGATGAAGTGACGCTCAAAATGGTGTCTCTTGGCTCGCAAACACTTGTTCGGTCATTGTGTTTTCATCGGGACTCGGCAGATTTGCCTGTTTATTTTTCAAGTGTGAGAAATTACGTGGTTGTGAGCAACGTCTGCCACCTGTCTGTGAATGGTATTGGGCGGGCGTGAGATTCACATGGGTGGAGAGAGAAAACTGTTGGGTCAGGTTAGACTGCAACTCCATCGATGTGTGGAAATTTTCAGTGAATGAGTCGAGCCAGTTTTATCGGTGCACGAGTATTTCTGAATTATCTCCAGTTTTCCCGCTGGTTTTAGCACCAATCGTATCCGAAAATATGATTACTCAGAATGATGCAATGGGACCATCTAGAGTCTACAGAATTCCAATATCGGGTTTTGAATGGGGGTGAGACTATTTCGAGGGAATCTCAGGCGGATTTTCCTCAACGCCGACTTTATCCCCCAAAAAATGCTTAAAAATGTGAAACTTTGCTGACATATTGCGTAAAAACAGAGAATTTTTCGTTTAAAATATTGTACGGATAATTCCAGCAGTCGTAAAATGAAAAATCGAAAAATATTTCCACTTGGTTTTATCAATTGCCTTGATAAACCTGAAAATGCATCACGTCGAATTATCACTCACACTATCAGGAAAGAGATCTCCGATAAAATGGACGTTTTTAGAAAAATTGATACGAAATTTTTGTTCCAACATTGAATGGAAAAAATGGGCGGCAAGGGCGATCGCAAAATGTGAAATTTGATATCTAATCAAAGTTATTCACCCCCAGCCAAAACCCACTGTCGAAAACAATAAATGCCATCTCTCTCTCGTCTCGTGTGTGCCCCTCTCCACAGATCCGGAGAGAAAAGAGCGAAATCACACCCAGCTCACAATTGATACTCTGCATTGGTGTTTTTCTGTGCGAAACAAATACAGTCTCGATTTCCAATGCAATGATTTTTTTCTCCTTTTGATTTGATTTTTCATGCGATTCACTCGATAACTCGTTACGCACCGTTTGTCACGATGTGTCGGTGCGGTAGCCATCTCGAAATGCGAAAGGTAGAGAGGAGAAGGCAGATTGTTGCACCGGAAGTTGGGGGGGACCTCGCAAAAACTACTGACAAGGGGCAACATCACGCCAAGGTCGCCGCACTCGTGGAAATTCTCAAGTGCAATCCATCGCGCATTTATTCTCGTTATTCTACCATTTATTTCACTTGGTTTTTATATTATTTCTACCCCTCCCCCTCACCCCCCCCCCCCCCCCC